GCACCAGACCGCTCAAGCCTTCCTCGGTCGCTCCTGGTTTGGGGGCCTCAAGGCCAAGGCCAAGCAGGCCACGACGTCAGGCCAGGCTTGGCCTTGACTTGGCCTGGGCCTTGGGCCTTGGGCGTCGTCGTCGTCGTCTGCCTTGGCCTTGACCTTGACCTTGGCCTTGCCTTGGCCATGGCCTGGCCTGGCGTCGTCGTCGGCGTGGCCTTGGCCTTCGTCGTCGCCCTGACGTGGCCTAACGTCATCGTCGTCGTCGTCGTCGTCGTCCTGGCTGGCCTGTCGTCGTCGTCGGCCTGGCCTTCGTCGTCGTCGTCGTCCGTCGTCGGCCTTGTCGTCAGTCGTCGTCGTCGTCGCGGCCTTTTTGACGTCGTCGTCGTCGTCGTCGTGGTCCTTGCATGGTCGTCCTTGACTTGGGCCGTCGTGGCCGTGGTCCTGGCATGGCCTGGCGTGGGCCGTCGTCGTGGCCTTGGCCTGGCCTTGGCGTCGTCGTGCGTCGTGGCCTTGGCCTTGGCCGTCAGGCCGACGCCAGGCCACGACGACGACGCCAAGGCCCACGATGACGACGGACGGCGGGACGGCGACGACGGCCCCAGGCCACGACGACGCCAAGGCCACGGCCAAGGTCAAGCCAGGGCACAACGACGACGGCACGACAACGACGACGACGACGACGCGACGGCGACGCCACGGCCAGGCCAGGCCACGACGCCAACGACGGCCAAGGACGACGACGTCAAGGCCAGGCCGCTATAGGCCCCAGGCCCAAACCAAATGAAGCTACATGACGTCTACGACGAAGTAGATGCGTCTACCGTCGACGACAACGTCATCAGAGAAGCGATGCCTACAAGATGGGTACATAGAAAGAGAGGACCAGGAGTACGAAGCCGAATCGTCGCAAAAGGCTACACAGAGAAGATCGAGGACGAAGACTCCGTCTACGCCTCTACACCAATGTTCACGACATTCCGGACACTTCTCGCACTACAAATGTCACGACCAAACTGGATCGCGCGACTAGGTGACGTCTCTACAGCATTTCTACACGCACCCATCGCAAAAGACCACGACGGTAAACAACGTGACGTCTACCTTTGGCCACCTAAAGAACTTTGTCCACAACAGGACAAAATCTGGCGACTAAAGAAAGCCATGTATGGACTACGCAGTTCACCAAAGCATGGCAGGACTACCTGGCTGAAGTGTTACAAAAGCTCAGCTTTGTAAGACTAGAGTCAGACCCGCGACTGCTACATCATGGTCTACGTGGACGATCTACTAGTACTTGGAGACAAGACTGCGGTCGACTCCACTTTCGAGGCCGTCCAGAAGCAGGTCCTACTTAAGCACATCGGCTACCTCGAACCTGGCAAACCACAACAATTTCTTGGAAGAAACATCGACCACCTTAAACTTTGGCAACTACTGCAATCTTGGACTAAAGGACTCCTACATCGACAACATGATCGAGGAGTCTGGAATGAACAACTGCAACTCAGTGAACACTCCAGGAATTGCACACTACAAACCAACAATAGAAGATGAAGCACTACTTGACCACGAACAACACAAAAGGTACAGAAGGATTGTTGGCAAACTTCAATGGCTAGCATACACACGACCAGACATTGCATACTCCACAAAAGAACTAGCACGAGACCTCACAGCACCTACAGAACTTTCACAAAAAAGAGTCAAACATTTTCTGCGCTACTTGCACGGCACCAAGCACTACAAACTCACCATAGAACCAACAACAACACTCAGAGCAAACACCAACAACATCCTGGATCTCGACGTTCATGTCGATGCCGACTGGGCAGGATGCCCTACTTAAATCAACTTCAGGTTTCAACATCATCTTTGTAGGAGCAACAGTTGCATTTGGCAGCAGAACACAAGCTACAATAGCACTCAGCTCAGCAGAGTCTGAATTCTACGCCATTTGCAGAGGAGTTAATGAGGGACTACACCTCAGAAACTTCCTACTTGAATCCAACATTTGCAGCAAGCTAAACCTACGCATCCACACAGACTCCACAGCAGGCAAGAGCATTGCTACACGACAAGGCACTAGCAAACGAGCAAAACACATCGACCTCAAATTTCTCTACACACAAGACCTCATCAAGCACGACATCATTAGAATCCTTAAGATCAACACACTTCACAACAGCGCAGATTTGGTTACCAAATGCATCAGCAAAGAAACACTACACAGGCTCATCCAGAGCATTGGGATACGCATTTAGCACCACGAACGACCAGCGCAGCAGTTTCACAACAACAACAACGACTTTGGACATTTCTTGTATGTAAGTAGCTACATGTAACACGACACCTTTGGTATGTAAGGAACAGTAACTACATGTATTTTCACTTGCACTTTTGGCGGCTGAGTCAACACTACAGTTGTTTGTTTTACATGTCTGCATGCGCCGCCTGCCTGATAGCAACTACTTAGGCTCATTTTGTTTTTTGCCCCGTTTCACTACATTTTGCATTCCATTGCAGCCATGGCCGCTCCATCTACTGCAGATGCTACGATGGGAGACGCCACTACGCCCCACAGGGCAACTACACCTGTGAGGTGGCGGTCACTACGGACGCCAGTGACCACGGAACTCCACCACCTCCAACCTGCAACGACTCCAACTACCACTTCAACCATTCTACACCTGGCAACACGGTCTACTACAACCCGACCGCAGTGATGGACCAACTACACATCACTGAGCACCAGATAACCACTACACCACCATTGCCCGACAACACACCCTACACTCAGTTTTTCACTGCACTCACACTTGAAGAGTATCAACTACTCTCACAACAACAAGCAACTCCACTGGCACAACTGGACTACACGCGACCCATTCACTGCATCCCTGGAGGCCTCCGAATCCCCAATACAATTCTACACTGCTCAGCGTTTCACTACCTGAAGAAGCCAACGTCCACTACTACCACACGACTTCACCCCACACTACAACCAGCGACAACACCAACTACATCATCATCCAACTCCAGATTGAACAACCACTACTCCTGAGGTCACTTCAGGACAATTTCTACACTTCACAAGGGACTACATCTCCTACATGATGTCCATACAACAGAACTACTACCTCCCGACTACACCAATTCCACAGACCATCTACAAGGTGAACTACAGCATGACCACCTTCACTGACAACTACAGCCTCAGGAACAACTACCTTTGGAACTACCACATGCCCCTACTACTACCTGAACTACTCCACTACCTTCACAACAGAGACCAACTACACGACTTCCAGCACAAGGCAATTACTACCATCCTCTGCAAGAGTATACAGTACTACGGATTCACACTACTCACCATGACAAACCTCACTCACCATGACAAACCTCACTCAACATCACAAAGCACTACTACACCGCTTTCTCAGGGAGTACGACCAACGCATGTCGTGCCCTGAGATAGACGACGAGCGACTACGGGGAGCTCCAAAGTACATGACAACATTTTCACCATACATTCCTACGCGACCTTGGACAACAGACTCCAGATGGTCCAAGACTATCGCGCCCAGAAACGGGGACCACATCTTTGAGCTCATGCTCCACTACAACGAGTGCCTGCCTCACTACCATCCAGCGCCCTACATCGAGCTGGAGCCTGAACAGCGTGAACTACTGAGCGCAGGTCACTACTTTTGCCAATACAGTAGAATTGATGAACAACAATGGTTTTCATCACTATTGTCAATCCATGTTTTGCACTTCAGTTGAAAAGGTACTACAAAGACCTTTTAACTGAGGGGCCGTGTCAAACTACATGCTTCACTTCCTGCATATGTGTTGCATGTATGATCACTACCGCAGGCCTTGAGCTTACTACTCCGCATGAGTGAAAAGGTTGGCAGCTGCGGACTCCATTGTTTGTTTGAACACTACAGCACTTTAAATTTAACGTGGGTGAGTGAGTGAGTGATTGAGTGAGTGAATGAGTGAATGAGTGAATGAGTGAAGGACTGAATGACTGAATGTGTGAATGAGTGACTGAGTGAATGAGTGAATGAGTGAATGAGTGAATGAGTGAATGACTGAGTGAGTGAGTGAGTGAGTGAGTGAGTGAGTGAGTGAGTGAGTGAGCAACACACGCAGCACTTTGGAGACGCCCTTGTCGAAATCGTGGCAGCCGCTGTGCATCTGGGCGTGCGTTTGTGTGCCCACTCACTCATTCACTCAGTCACGCACTCACTCACTCACTCACTCACTCACTCACTCACTCACTCACTCACTCATTCACTCACTCACTCACTCACTCACTCACTCACTCACTCACTCACTCACTCACTCACTTACTCACACTCACACTCACCCACCCACCCACTCACTCACTCGCTCACTCACTCACTCACTCACCCACTCACTCACCCGCCCAAATCCTGCCCCTGCCGCAGAAAATGCGCCCAGATGCAGAAAATGCTGCGCCTGCCACGATTTCGGCAATGACATTTCCAAAGTGCTACGCCTGCCACGATTTCGCGCGCCCCGAGAGCCGTGCGCGCCACAACATCCTGCCTCTTTAGACAGCTGCCAAATGCTGCCCCGGCCACACACACTGAGTGAGTGAATGAGTGAGTGAGGCGACCTCTTGTCCCGTTAGACAGCTAATGCTGCGCTGGCACTGAGTGAGCGAGCGAGCGAGCGAGTGAGTGAGTGAGTGAGTGGGTGAATGAGTGGGTGAATGAGTGGGTGAATGAGTGGCTGAGTGTGTGAGTGTGTGAGTGTGTGAGTGTGTGAGTGTGTGAGTGTGAGTGTGAGTGAGCGAGTGAGTGAGCGAGTGAGTGAATGAGTGAGTGAATGAGTGAGTGAATGAGTGAGGGAGTGAGTGAGTGAGTGAGTGAGTGAGTGAGTGAGTGAGTGAGTGAGTGAGTGGGCAGCAGGGCCCCACACAAAGATGTGAGGAAAAACGCACAAACAAACCAAAAACCAAAGAAAACAAAATATACATCTGCACTGAATCAGCAAGCTATAGCCTGAAACCATGGGCCTCGATGGGCCTGCGCATTCGATTGCAACACTAGGTGCAGCGAGCACAGCTCCAGCCCCAAGCGCCTTGGCACAGACGAGAGGCGATTTGGGCATGGTCGTCCCAGGTGAGGTTTTAAAAGTAGCCCTGGAAGGTCGCGCCAGTAGGAAGCGAAATGGAGCAAACAAAGCCCCCACATGGTGCCAGCCGCTTGCCCCGCCGAGGCCCAGCGCCCTGCACACAGGCCCCAGAGGCTCCAGCCGCTGTCCATCCAGCTGCCCATCCGGCAGCCGCCTGGGAGTTGCAAGACGTTGTCACGTGAGCTTGCCATAGCTTGCCTGCAAAAAGTTTGGCAAAGGCAACTCGGAATGGCTCACTGGGCAACAACCTACACAAGGACCCCCTTCTTCCTTCCACACCCACAGGCAGTGGCAGGTTCAACTCTCGGAATTGAATATTCCTGAAGCCTTGCTATGCAAGGCTCGCATGAGATCTCTTTATGTCTTTTTGGGGTTGGCTTGTTTCTGAGCTGGTGGGGCTTATTCAGGGGCCCCCCCTCGTGCCTTCCCCTGCCAGCAGATGCACAAGCATCCACTGAACCACGTTCACGATGTTCACAGCAAGGCCTAGATGATCGTGCTTGCATGTGTCACACTCGCTACACTCGCCTTCGTTCCGCCAGATTCGGGATGTTATTTCCAGTTTATGGTTTCTTTTGCAGGGGATGAGGGGGCAGAGGCAAGGCAGCTAGGCCAATCAGGCGATGCCGGAACTTGGGGTCTGGAGCTCTTGGAACTGAGGTTCCGCCCAGGCCCATGGCAGCTCCGACTGCCCTGGCCTGCGGCTCGTGGTCCAATGGGAAGGAACGTCAAAGCAGCGCACCACACGCGGCACAGCACTGTAGCACGGTGGCCCATGTGTTTCCACCGACTCCTTTCAACAAATGTCGCCCACGGAGCCACTGCACCTCCGCCAAGGCTGGCCAAACCATGGCCCCCGGCACTCCCGGCAAAAATTACAGCGTTCAGAGCACTGTGCCAATTTCTTCAGATAGAAGGGTCGCAGATGAACTGGTGAACTGGTTATGACATTGTGTTATTCGTTCCTTCCGTCCGTGCACGCTGCCTTGTCACGCACACGGCAGGTGCAGAGCTGCGCCATTTGAGCCAGCCGAGCCGGAGCTCGAGCCCTACTCGCAACATGGGTTCGACCCCCAAAATGGGTGGTGCCTCCTTCAAAAACCAAGCCAAAGAGGAAAAGAGACACCTACACGGGGCGGGTGGCGTGCGATAGAATCGGCTACAATTAGGCACAGGAAAGAACTTGCAGCCTAGGTATGGGTGTAGATGTCCCTCCCGGCGTGCTTGCAGAGCTGCGAGCGCAGCCAAAGGCACAGGCGAGCGAGCTGAAGTTGGGCAAAGCCCTTGCGAGAAGTGCTTGCGGCATGCTTCATTTTGCGGCAAGGGGTTGCCCGGAGCCTAGGCCATCCCTTCATTTCTCCTTTACGTGCAGGCCGCGCCACTGATGCCGACAGCCCCGGCATCAATGCCACCAGCATTGGTTCCGGGCTTTGAAGCATTTGCTTCCACAGAGTTGCCAGCTGCTGCGACAGCCCTGGCTGGCGAGACCAATTGGGAGGCAAGAATCCAGGCCTGGTCGACGTGCTGTTTTTTTTGGGGCTGGGGGCCGCCAAGCAATGCACCACCCCGGCGTCGTATGGGAATGTTCCAAATGCAAGTGGCCTGGGCATTGCCTTCATCTCCTTATCTCCTCCTTGCCCCTCCTACGTCTTCACAAGTTGTCGTGACAGCTCTGATAGCCATCAAGCCCAATCATGTTGTTCCCTCTTAGCCCCCTGCCATTCAAGCTATAGTCGAGAAGTTTCTGCATGGTTGACACAGCAATTTCACTGACCATTCTTCCTCGAGTGCGATGAGGTGTGACAATCCTGTGGTGATGCAGTGTTCCGAAGGAGGGAAAAGTCAGTCAAGATTCTACCAAATCCCAGAGTAGAGTCATTGTTACAACCTTACGTTATCAGTCGCTTAGCTGCCGGGTTAAAAGTCGATATCTCAATGTACTGTTGACAGCAGCTGTACAGTTCCGCCACTTAGGCCCTCGCATCGGGCAAGTTGAGCGCCCTGGAGGCACGGAAGCTAACGCTCACGGAAGCGCCGGGTGATGGATCGGCACGCAGGCAGTGGCAGGCATCGAAGCGCCGCCTGCGGGGCCTTGTGCCGTGCCGGCACTGGGCTCAGGCCGTTTGATGAGACCTGACGGGCTGGGGGCTGACAGGCATGGGCCTGACAGGCAGACAGGACTTGCCCTTTGCGCGATTGCATCGTTGAAGCTGCGTGTTCATGAGTCTCCGACGCTGCCCCAGCTGGAGTCGTTGGGCAGCATGGGTGGCTCTTTGCTCTGAGCTCAGCAGGATAGCACTTGTGGCGCTGGGCTGTTGCCGGGCGATCGATTGCACGCAGAGCTCATGGACATCGGGCAACGGACAAAGATATCTCTCGCTGCTTTGCACCGGGCAAGGCCGAGTCAACCAGCAGAGCCTTGGCCTCAGACCCCTTGCTTCCCTGATGAGAAGCCTGTGCAACCTAAACAAAATGTGCCCTTTGTACCCATTCTGCAAATTTGGGCCTTAGACAAGCGTCGTGGATCTGAGGCCTGGAATGGCTGGACTGACACAATCGCGGCTGGCTCAGAGGGCACTTTAAAACCAGGGCTTGGGCCCTTGCAGGGTTGTGTTGCTTGGCTCATTTTAGATGTTGACTTTCGAACGGTGCATGACCTTCAGATGGCCAAAGGTTACATGCTTTTCTGGGTCAGCAGTTGGCCGGTTGAAAGGACATCTGCAGATGGAACTGGCGCCTGACCCTCGGATTGCTGGCGTGTGGCACCGCACATTGGCAACGAGTTTGCAGCTGTTGTGCCCGGTGGCTACAAACTTTAGTGGGAAATGCCCTCCCAATTTCTGCGGTGGACATTAATCCTCACCGACATGATGCCCGCCACAGCGTCCCTAATCAGAACTCATGCCCATGTAATTGTCTTGGCCTAAGCTTCAAACAGGAGAACCAGACTGCAGCGCAGATGTACATGCTGGCGCAGTTGGCAGAGGAGTCCCTGCCCCAGGCGTGTAGAAAGCTAGTCAGACCTGATCCACCACAAGGCGGGCAGACAAGCTGCATAACCAAGCCTAGGTCTGCACAAACTGCAGCTTCAGCTGCTGCTTGCCTTCATGGGGCCGAGTCTTGGGCTTGGTGTGCCAGTGGTCAGCCGCAGCGAAGCTACATGAGCCGTCTTCAAAAAGACATGGTGCCTATTTCGGGCTTTACAGACGGAGCGGACGAAGCTTAGTAAACCCCACCCGTACGTACCGTGTGCGAGGTCAGACCCCAACCAGGTGGCAGCCTTGACTGAAGCAGCTCAGCAGGCAGCTGGACGCCCAGGGGACGCTGATGTCGCCGCAGAGTTGGCTCTGCTTTTTTGATAGGTGGAGCATTTGGAGAGACTACTTGAAAGGGTGAACATAGTTGGCCATGAATTTTGATAGGGAATGCCATCCTTTCGCTAGCGGAGACACAATCAATAATGGAGACTTATAGTGGAGGTAAAAGGATGTCAACCAAAAGGAACCCGCTGAATATAAACACTCTGATTTTGAGGCAGCGAGAGCTTTATGGGTGCCGGCCTCGGCTTAGAGAGACGGGAAAACACCACTGATCTTGGCACAAGGCTGCCACCTCCTTGTCTACCTGCTTTCCAGAGCCCCTACCCGGGCAGCAGCCGCCAGAGGACGTGCGCAGGGAGTGCGAAGGGGAAGGAGAGAGGAGTGGGGAGTCGGGGCGAGACCTGCTTTGCCAGGACGACTGGACAGCCAGCTTGCGAACCGTGACGGCCCAGGCATCGGAGGCCTGGCGAGCAAAATGCAAAGCATTGAAAGACAAGCTTGCGAAAGATTGGAAGAGAAACACGCAATTGGACTTACCCTTCCGCCAGCTGCCATGCTGGGAGGGATGGTACGCATGGGCATGCCCCGCTCTTGCCTTCGCTTTTTGCGAAGGCTGCGGAGCAGGCTGCCCTCAACTGTCGCTTGCAGGCGGGGAGGAGTGAAGAATTCGAGGCTGCTAGCTCATGTCGAGATCACACAGACCCTTTTGCAATTGGTGATGTTTTGAAAGGAAACCAGAACAGCATGAGCGATATTCACTGGGCGGAAGGGCCCAATTCTTCTTTTACCATAGTTGTTTCGTTGAGTAATCAGCTGACACTAGGAAGACCACGTTGCAAACAATAAATGCGGCGGAGATCCAACATCCCTAATGCAACTTTTGGGGCATCAGTGATGTGCAGTGTCCGAGCACTGCCTGTCAGGCTGCTGACATGGTCAACAGGATGTCGAGCGGTGGTGTTGGCACTGGCGGGCCTGCGGCCAAATCCAAGGCGCAAAGCAACCAGCACTGGATACCTGTGGCTGGCATTCGGTAAGCCAGGTGCCTTGCAAGTGGTTTTTGCTGGGCCAGTGCAGAAAGGCCGGGTGAATGATGCGGGATAGTCTGCTTCCGTTGACCTCGTTGATTTGATGAAGCCTGTCTTGACTGGCAGCGTGGCATAAGATGTCAAGTGGAGGGGTGAAACGTCAAAACGTCAAGGTGGAAACTCAACAAACTGACGGCAGAGAGCAAATACCATGGAGCACGGGAGATGTTCCTTTAACACAATGTTTGCTCCAGATGTGGGGCTCACATTCAAGAAGAAACCCCTTCCACATCAATTACGGGGCAACGTTAGGGGTCGGGAGAAGGCACGGCTCCTCGCAGTCTGTGTGCGAGTTCTCGCACGACATTCAAGATTTGCAGCCGCGGTGCCTTGTCCTAGCAAAGGTGGTCGGGGCGACGTTGGGGAAAGCCGTCAGGGGATTTGATCTTTGAGCAGTTAGCTGTGCACTTCAATTGTCCCACGGAAGTGGCTAATCTTGCAACCACTAAGGCCGCTGCACAAGAAGCGAGCAGAAGAGTGTGTCTTGTCCAAATCAGGACACGTGATCATTTGACTTCAGGTTTCGGTGCATAGGCAGACTCTCAAGGGCTTGATGGCTCCGAATTGCACATTTTGCTCTTGCCAGCTGCCAGCTGGCAGGTCACTACTTCCAGAAGGGGCAGTGCCCGGGCCTCAAATCTGACAGTCAGACAATGTTCGGTTCCCTCCAAAACACCATGCAAGAAAGCGGGGCTTCCTAAACAACCCATATGTGCAAACCACTGCCTGTTTTTCTCTCCACTGCATTGCAGGCACGCCGTGGTACAGACTTAACTTTTCAGATTCGGCGGAAGTGTGCTTGCAGTGGGCTTTCCCAGACCCTCAAGGCGGTCCCGGGAGCTTGCTTTGACCTGTTCAGAGCATGTCCACCTATTCCAGCACATCTTTGGTTCAAGGGAGTGTTCAAACTCAGAGTGGGATCCTTGAGAGAATAATTTCTGAAATCGGGACCGCATGGCTGCGCTGCATTGAAAAGGGTTCTAAGCGGACCGATTTGACGGGTGGGGGGCTTGTTTGAGCATTCCTGCCAGTCCAAATGGCAAACGCCCTTGATTGGCCTCCCACCGAAAACGTGTGGGCATGCAAAGGTCCCTAGAGGTGTCCTCGCGGAACGTGAGCCCTTGGTTTGTTGGCGGGTTGCTCGCCAGGCACACGCGGCACCGCCTGCCCGTTTGCTCACGGCCCCGAAGAGTTAGCGGAGATTACTCGAATTGCCGGGGCCCGACATTCGCTTTGCGGAAGGGTTTTGCTCATCCAAATAATCATGATGACTGTTAGTTTGAGGCTGCCCTGCTTCAGTTGCAGTAGGCGTTCTAAGTCGCTGAGAATTGAAGCCTCTCATACCCCTGTCGCATCCTGTCGCCAGGCACGAAAATCAATCAAAGTCAAGCTTGGGTTCCCTCACACCTTCCCCGGAGTGCAGAATACCAACGCCGCGCAGCATAGGTGAGCGACTTGAAGACCGAGAAGCGCTACATTCGACGATGAGGCTACCGAGATGCTTTGAGGAAGCCTGGGCGTCGCTGCTTAGGGGACAGCGCCATTACCAATTGGGAGGGTATTGGAGTAAAGGCTTAGCTAGTTTTGATGAGATCATGTTCACACATCAATCCTAATAGCTTCCGGGGAGTCTTTTGAAACAGTGGCAAGTCTGAAGATAAAGTACGGAACAAAGCAGCGCGGCACAGCATGCACTCCGGCCGAGGTTCTTGCCGCAAGTCGCGATGCGAGTGGAGCTACTTGCGCGCGATGACGGAGTGAACGTGGCAAGCGCAGAACCAAAATGGCTTTGTCACGGATTGCCTCTGAAAGGGGGCTCCAAATTCCCTCTGATTTGCCTTTCAATCAACACCAAAAAGGGGCACCCTTCCAACTCCCAACTAAAGCACTTGGCAGGTGAATGGTTGCCATTTACATGTTCTCCGCTTGCTGGCCCACCCAAGCCTATAATTACTGCCGTGGCAAAGCGCTGTTTGGATCAAGTCGTAGCTAACCAACTGAAGACAACACCAGCAGCATTCTGCATTGGTATTCTTGCCGTTGCTGAGAACTGAAAAGCCTTGAATCTACTGCACCTGCTAGGTCATTAAGACATCTGACATCCTACCTTGCTGGCATGGCTTGACTTGTGAAGGTCCGTGCAGATTGAGCAGGGGCCATGCCGCGCTCGGACCGCGGGCGCGGCCTCAGTTCCGGCAACCTCCGGAGGCGGAGATCGCAGAAAGCACCTGAGCGCCTTTGGCGATGTGGATTGCAACCACTTACAACCACAAAAAGCTCGGAATGACACACACCCACCGTAACTCTTGGGAGCCCCCCCCCCCGGCCCGCCCTGGTTCCTAGAAGCCCGCGAGCGTCAGGAGTGGCGCTGAGCCATGGAAAGCGCCAGGCAGCTTGGCATGCAAGACAATCAAGCCTCTAGGCTGCATCTTCTGCGGCCTCTCCCGCACAAGGAAAGCATGGCCCAGTCCAGTACAACCCTGCCATCTATGCAACACACAGTCCAGATACGGGTGTTCCCGGCAGCTCCAGTGCCACTTGGCAGTTTCTGAAAGCGCTGAGTTGCATTCCGGTTGGTTTGGACAAGCGAAAGCTTGATCGCAGTTGAGGCTTGGTGGCAGCCGGGCATGTGTGGAGGCCGGGGCTCGGCAGCGGGTCCTGTCGGAGTATCGCTGGTGCAGGCATGGCAGATTTGAAGAAGATTTGGCATCAGACAAGCTCCTTAGCAGCACTCCAGACAGTTGGGGTCATGCGGGAAAAGGGCCGGCACGAAGGGGTAAGGACAGCAAGCCAACCGAGGCTACATAATCGACCCACATTTGCGCCAGCATGTGACCAGACAGATGATGGCCACTTAGTGGCACGAGCAGTCTCAGCTGGCACTAGCATCTTTGTACAAAAGATAACCCCTAACCCGCCAAGGCGCAATATGCACAGATGCCTGCAGCCGACGCTTGAAGGCAACTGTGGGCACCAGAAGTCATGTCAGAACATGTGGCAATTCTTTGAGAGTCGGACAGCCGCTACTTTTGTGCCGCTGGGGTGAGACCTTACCATTGCACCCAGCCAACCCAGGAAACGCTTCATGGAGACTGTCCGCAACTGATTTTGCGTAGCCAAGGACGCATCCAGCAATCGCAGGCACGAGTCAATCTCTGCACCGCAGACGCGGCAGCTACAAACGGCGCCGCTGGTCTCATCTTGTGATCAAAATTGAAACCTAAAAAACGGTGCCCCACATAAAGCGCGCAGATTGGACTGGGCCTACATTGACAGACCTTGCTTAGCGTGGACCAAGGCCGTGCCACGAGAGCACACGCCGCTCGAGATCCGCAGGCTCACTGCGGGCGGCGCCTCGGCAAGAGGCCGCCACAAGTTGCCGAGATGAAGCGGTCCTTACAATTCTCTTTTCGGTGATTCAAGCATCACCGCTTGGGTCATTTTGAATTGTGTTTCCCATAGTAGTGTCCAAATGGGATTAGTAAAGGGGGGACCCCCCCCCCTCAACGAAGGGGGTACCCAGAATAGGATCTTGAGATCCAGGTGAAGTGAGTTTCCATTTGATTTAGTATTGGCAGACTTGAGTTTCCATTTGATTTAGTATTGCTGGAGCTTCCTTTTGAGATTTGGAACTGAGTTTCCATTTGATTTAGTATTGCTGGCGCTTCCTTTTGAGATTTGGAACTGAGTTTCAATTTGATTTAGTATTGCTGGACTTGAGTTTCCATTTGATTAAGTAATTTGACAGCCTGGGTGAGGCTGGCAATGCTTCATGCTGTGTTGCTAGAATTGGACCTGCTCCCAAATTGTCAGCTGTACCAAAGCCATGCTTTCTTACATGTCTTTTGTTTAAAACCTGCCCACAATCAAACCCACAAAGGGGGTAGTACTTCAGCCCCCAACTTGACATTGTTTCAGGGGCCCCCGAAATAAAGTCTTGTTGCCTGGCCCCCTGAAAAATACAACCTGCCCAGTGCAATTGCCCCTTAGCTAGTCAAGTAATTTGACAGGGTGAGGCTGGCAATGCTTCATGCTGTGTTGCTAGAATTGGACCTGCTCCCAAATTGTCAGCTTTACAAAACCCATGTTTTCTTACATGTCTCTTGTTTAAAACCTGCCCACAATCAA